CAGAGGGGTTAATTAAGAAGGTACTATGGGTATAATGCTTATGAGTAGCCATCGTCCCTCACCACTGCAGTTACCTGCTTCTGCAACTGCATTTCTATCTTGTGACCTCCTAGAAGGCCACTCGGGCTTCCTCCACTTGTAATGCTACCCTAAGGACATTGCTCATCCCCAGAGAAAAGAGGAGAAGGTCCTTAAGACCCAGCCTAGCTGTCAACTTGGAAAGACACAGCAAACCTGAAGCTGCCAAGCAGACCCCTCAGATACTGGGGTCCACAGCGTTGCCCAGGTAGCCTGCTGCTGCAGGGCACTGCTGCTGGAAACCCAGCAGGCTGAACACAGCTACATCCCAACAGGAAAACCAAACACAATTCCAGGTTTCACTGCTCAGACAGCTCGATCGCCAAAGCCTGAAATCCTTAAAGTGCTCCTTTCAAAAATCCAAGTGTTTCATTGAAGCAGCCCTTTTCTAATTGAGATCTTAATATTCCCAACTGATGCCTGGGAGAAACACCTGAGAATTTTACTATGGGCTAAACTTTACTCATTAAACATTTAGTGAATGTTAACAACAAAATACCACACTGCAATGTGGGTGTTACTTCCATCCACGTGTATCTTCAAACTTGAGAAGTGTCCAGCTTATCAGAGAAAAACATGAACTTTCACCTGTCTAGTCTTGATTATTTTTAACCTTTTCCCAGCTATGTTAATTAAGCAACTGCTCTCCAGCAAACAAAACTGAATCCTATCTCACAGTAAAACACTATGAGTGGAACTGCTGTGAGTTTTGATCACTCTTCTCTAAACAGTTCAAGTCAGTTTACAGTGACAGAATTAAGACCCAGGCTCTTCGAGGTGTTGTGTGGCTGTACAACAACTGCACTCTGTAAGAGGCCGTACGTTTTACACTGCCAGTCGTTAGCACTGAAGAGCCCACGGCTCTTTTCAGCAAGCGTCTTCCCTATTTCAGTCCCTCCAGCTTTCATCATTTTGGCTTCTGTCGTTTTTTCTGGAAAAGAAAAACAAAGAAACGAAGAACAAACAGTTCTCAAACATCTGGCTTCATGAGAAACTAAAAGGATTCCATGTTCTTTTCTTTTTAAATAGCAGAAATAAACAAGGAGAAAAAGATCATAAAATAATGGAATGGTCTGGGTTGGAAGGAACCTTAAAGGTCCTTAAGCAACCCCACCCAGCTCCAACCCCTGCCCCGGGCAGGGACACCTTCCACTAGAGCAGGTTGCTCCAAGCCCCTGTGTCCAACCTGCCCTTGAACACTGCCAGGGATGGGGCAGCCACAGCTTCTCTGGGCACCCTGTGCCAGCACCTCAGCACCCTCACAGGGAAGAGCTTCTGCCCCAGAGCTCATTTCAATCCCCCCTCTGGCAGCCGAGACTCTCACCTCTTCCACATCTGTTACAGTTGGTTCTTCTGGCAAAGTTCACATTCCCGCACCTGAAAACAGAAGCGGAACGAGAACGAAGACGCTGGTTAACGCTGGAAAAAGCACTCGCGCGAGACTGGAAAGGAAACCACCTCTCTGTTTCAGGCTGAATTGGTTCCAAATCGGAACACGAAGTTTCCCAGGCCCTGCGCGGCCCCGCGGCACGGAGCTGTGGAGCTCTGCCGGGGGGAAACGGACCCGGCCCGGCC